CTTTCAAGTTTAAGTTGATTTGACTTTATATTCATGATTGTAGATTGTTTCACCAAAATAGCACATTTTGTACCATATACAAAATCTATTTCAAATAAAAAAAATGGCTAAGATTTTTTTTTGATAATATCTATTGTTATTATGAATTATCAATGGATGTTATAACAGATACATGGATATAATTTATATCAAGATTTAAAAAAAAAAATCTTTAAAATATTGAAGGTGGATGTAAAATTTTATTTGACCTTTTATCCTCAAACTAATATACAAATAAAACAAGTGAATTAAGTTTTGGAGTAGTATTTGAGGTATACCATCAATTATCTTCAAGATAATTAGACAATTTTTTTGTCATTGGCAAAATTTGTATACAATAATTCAGTACATTCTTCTACTCAAAAAATACCTTTCTTGGTCAATTATGGTTATCATCTAAAATTTGATACTTTTTACTTTTTAAAATTTAATATTCTTACTATAGAAGATTTGGCAAATTATTTGTTAAAGCTAAATGCAACAATGATGGCATAGTTAAAAGAAGCTTAAGAATCACAAAAAATCAATATTGAATGTCTATTGCAAAGAACAAGCATAATTTAATGTAGGTGACAAGGTATAGTTACTTTGTTGCAATATTAAGACTACTCATTGTCGTGATGTAATACGACTATATAATGAAACTATAATCAAAATTAAAATTTTAATTAATATCTAATTATTTTGATTCAATGATAATTCAAGGTAACTAAACATGGCTTTTATAAAAGCCCATTAGTTTATTTTCTTATCTTAATAGTTAGTAGATTAAAAGTTGATTAGTATTTTTACCTTCTAGACTATAGAGATTTTTTTATTACCTTAGAAAGACCATAAATTAATAAAATTAAGTCAGAAGAAATAAATAATTAATATGGTTGATACTAGGATTAAGTTGAGGGTAGGGTTGGGCTAAAAAATCCTTAGGATAGGTTAAATTGATACCCGAGGATTGACCATTTATGAGACAAGGTCAAAATCAAACCTCTAGCTACTAAAACAATCGCCTAGGGCAAAATTCAGTTTCATTTGAAGATCAAAGATTAGGATTTCAAAGTTAGATTAGAGCTTATTTTAGAAACATAAGGCTGATTTTGGTAGGATTTTTTTGGACTTAGCAATTGTTGTTGAAAGTTAGGGTTTGTATTAGCAACTTGAAATTTATGCAATAAAATTAGTGGTAGTACTCTTGGCTAATTCAAAAAATTGGTGTCACATCTATAGTTCAAATTTTGATAGTATTTAGTTAATTAGGTGTTCTAAGTATATGTGAAATTTTGTAATAATTCAATAGTGCAATTGAAATATATCTGGGTTTTGATACAAGAATATATCAGAAGTTAGTAGTTGGGGTTGGGTAGGATTTCTATGATATCTGAAGATCTACTAGTTGGATCTAAATAAAATTTGACATAGTATTGGAGGACTTAAAGATCAAGCTACAAATCAATTTTGAATTGAAGTTAATAATTGGAGAAGGAGAATTCATTGCTAGAACTTTTACATCACCTTTCAAGTTGGCGGCCAAGTAACATTAGTGCAATTTTTTGGAGTTTTTTCACAATTTGTAAGTTGGATTAGGATAAAAAATTTTAAGTGTATAAAAGACTTACATTGACAATAGCATGCAAAATTTCACATTAAGTGGACAGTCAGATTAGAAGTTACAGCTTGTCAAAACTCACTCATCAAGATTAGGGCTTACAAGATAAATCTAAATTGCTTAAATATGAAAGTAACAAGGTAATTGGGATTTATATACAATTGAGGCTACTAAAAAGAGTATTTTTTAGTATTTTTGAATTGAAATTCAGATTATATACTTCTCATATAGACAAAACCTATTAAGGTTTCTTAAATACTTGTGAAATACAACCTCACCTTCCACAGCTAGGTGCTCAATGAATTCCCAAATAAGACAATACATAACATGACATTGTTCTTGTGACAAGTTGGACTATTGTAGGCTTGGATCTTTTTGTAATTGTAAACAATCCAATTTTGTTGCTCATTGATTACATCTATTAGAATCTATGAAGATCTATCTCGTATTCTATGTATCTTTTCTTAAGCCATATGAGGTAGTGAATATCTTGGGAAGAAGACAAGTGCCATATCTTTCTATAGAAGTGAATAATAATAAAAAAATTGAGATGAAATAAGTCTTAGATTCAAGAAGACATGAAAATTGATTAAAATATCTTATTCATTAGGATGGATATGATATTAGTGAAAGCACATAGAAACCAACAAAAAAATCTTTCAAATGCAGCAAAGAAGATTAATAGTTCTTATTGATGTCATCTGTCAAAACCAAGATGAAGAATAACAAATCTTTATTATAAAAAAATAAGATATATAGAAGATAGTATTTTTTTCTTTTATCTTTAATTGTAGTTTTTGTATATTTGTGGCACTAAAAAAATAAAAAAATCAACAACCAAAAAATTCCACTCAAAAGCTATTATTTGCTGATTTACCAAATGAAACATAAGGATTGTCACAATCTTGAAGATGATGTAATCGAGATAAAGATCCTCAAAAACAACATGTCCTTTCTCGAATAGATAGTAAGATATAATATGTTTGATATCACAACCTTAGAAGAGACTCCTAATATGTGGTAATTTTATTAGAAGTAAAAATAACTCTTCACAGTATTCTAAATATTTTTTTTTGAAAGAAATTATGAAGGTCTCAATAACAATCAAATAACATGGTGGTCTTTTTGTCGTAACATGAGACACTATCAAAGGTTGAGAGGACCTATCAACCATCTTTAAAGAGAATAAAGATCAAAGTATATATCAAATATAATTTACCTCATTTTGGATTCCTTCAACATATGCTGATTACTCTTTATAAAATTTATCCTTAAAAAAAGAAGTAATGCTACAAATTTATATATTTATTTTAATAATTACTTATATGATTAAGTAGAAGTAAATAAAAATAGATTAATATTATAATATTTTCTAAAGAAACTTCCTAGAAGCTTCATTGATGTTACTTTGATTTTACACATGTTTGTAATTAATTGATAGGTTAAAAACTTGAACAACAAGTTAGCTATGTATCACATATATTGGTAGCTTGTGGAACAAGCTAATTATTTTGTACATATATAAAAATATTACCTTACAAGTTAAAACATGTATTTAGCAAAGTCAACATGTATTGAAGGTCCTATAGAATATTATCACATAGCTCTTAGTTAGATAATATATATGGAGGCAAGAGTGAAGTCTTTTTTTCACTCTTATCAATTCTTTTCTTAGTTAGATAATATATATGGAGGCAAGAGTGAAGTCTTTTTTCACTCTTATCAATTCTTTTCTTGCTTCCAGTCTAGTTTCAAGGATCTCCAGTTTTCTTATCTTTTGGCAATAGTCATTCTAATTTCTCTTGAGTATACATATTTTCTTATTTCTATTTTGTCATCTTTCTTTGAAAAAAGTCTCACTTGTTTATTTGCCTTCATCAAGTTCTTATCTTTATCACTAAATCAATTAAAAGATTGATTTTTAATTGCTTAGCATGTTTAAAAATCACAATGTTATTTTGAAAACTACTGTTATAATGTTTTTTTTACTAAGATGAATATCTTCTATAAAATATATTTTTTATTTTAAAACATCACAGTAGTTACAATATATATTTTTGGGTGTAAAAATTATATTATATGTATAATTTGATATTAATTAAATTATAATAATTATTTATTAAAATTTTAGCTATATCTGAAGTAATTTTTTTTTTAAATTTTAGGTCTGTCATTTAAAATATTCTAATTCTGTTATTATCATTTACATATAGAGAGAGAATAAAATGGTTAAATTGGCCCCTATATTTACTAAATTGACCCATTCGTCATCATTACTTAAGGATTCAACCGTTTTTTCATTGCTTGGGTTAATTTGACAATTCCATTTGCATAAAACTCTGAATTTATTATACATTTTAATCCTAGTAAAAAGAACAATTGAATGAACGAGTTCGTTAGTTCAAACGATGTAAAAAAGCACGGATTTGGGTTTTTGTGGCCCCAAAGTGGCGTCATCAATAATTCTTGGACTTTAGTTGTTCGACGGAGCAAAGGATTCCTGCTTTGGCGGCATCGATGCTTGTGCGCCGCAATCCCGGAACGGATAATCTGGATCTCCCCGCTGGAATCTCCATTTACACAGAAAAGAGCAGGAGAGAGTGGCCATGATAATGTCCATGTCATCGACTTCGAATCATGATTCCTCGCGAGATCGGGGGATGGAGTTTGAGCCCTGTTTTAAAAACTCCACCAACACTGTCGCAGAGATTCGCAGTGCTTGAGCAGTGGCTCTCAGATTCACTGTCACCGTCGTTAAGCTTGGGAAGCGAAGAGGGTCAGAGCTTGCGAAGCGGTCAAAATCAGCGGTACTTGCGTTAATTGTATTCTGTGACACAGAAGTCCGCGGTGATTTTGACCTATTTTTGCTAATATGTTCGAGTAATATAGGGTCAGTTTCAATTTCGTTCAACCAAGGCTAACTTACAGAAATATGAAATGCATGCAATGTACAGTAGCTGCTGCATTGTTTTTACAGCAGCTAGTTGGCTTCAAATCATGTTCTGTGCTTTGTTGTCGAGAATAGTTTAACAATACTTTGGATTGTGATGTCGTAGTTCTGTGTTAAATGACGAGTCGAAATCTGTGTGAGCATGTTTTGAGACTATCATATTGTGATGTATCGTGAAAAGTTCTTTTGGAGTTGTCTGATGCTAGCACATGGTTTCCATCAGTTCCCTTTTTGATCTAGATTGAAGAGTTCTCGCAAGTCTTCTTTTCTGATGGTATGCATTTGGCGTGAGATCCCTTACGCACAAAGATTCGAACTCTTGCTTTCCACGGTCGGGAGGTAGTTGTCGAGATTGCCATTGGAAACGGATCAGAGGTTAAAGAAAGTTCAGGAGAAAATCCGTGAAGTAGTTACGCCACAAGGCTTTTGTAATTCTCCAATGTAGAATGAATTTTCCAATGGATACAATGCGTTTAGTCGTTAGTATATGGGATGCTTAAAACCTGATGGAACAAACGAAAATCAAGACCCCAAGTTGATAAGAAGTGATCTTTTACAGACTGTTCCCAGGATTGAATGCGTGATCATCTAACCTATCGTTAGGATGACATTGTGGGTTATCAACTAAATTATCAATTCAAATTTTCTGGCGGACTTCAATCGCCTTGGGAAACAAAGCCATGAATCTCCACCGTCATCTTCTCTAAGATGACAGGAGGATCGGCAACACGAGCAGGCTGAGGAATACTTTCAAGCTTAGGCTGGCCCTGCGGAGACGAGAGAAACTTTACTAGTTATGGTATAGATTTCAAAACAAAATCCGAGCCGACACAGTTCTCCATCCAAGTGTTAAATAACAATGCAAACTTCCCTTTATAAGGAGGAACCGAGGAATATACACAAGGACGGTGAAATTACCCTGTTTCTGCTGCTGGACCTGCTGAACTCGGGTACAAACGTGCACTCTTTCATCTCAATTCTCTGCCTCTCCTTCCGCATATCTTCTACCTTCTGTTTCCTCTTCTGGACATCTTGGAGTACGAACTTGTACCATTGATCACTTGTACTCAAGTGTAAGTGGGCACCAACATCCCAGTTAAGATCCGTATAATATAATCATGAATTGTAAAACAGATCTCAAGTCTATTTAAAAAAACATCGATTGTACCAGCTGTCAACCACTCTTTGCTCTAAGAAGGCCATTCAACTTTATTGTCATACACCACCGTCTTTATCAATAAAGAAATGTTAATATTCCTGCTTCTTTAGAGCCACAGGCATGAAGCGATTCATTTCCTTAACTTTCTACCACACTTGAAGATACGTAGCTACGGAAAAGGGATAGCTTTACAGTACCCGAAGTTACACAAAAATGACATGTCGGAGGAGAAACTTACGAGTACTTTCGTCTCCTGGCTGCAAGATCACTGGATACACCGTCAACCTTGTGCTGGAGGTTTAAATTACTCCTGTCTGCATGAGGAATGTGCCTAAGATTACCACGTACGGTAAAGCCTGGGTGATTCTTCTCCTGCAGACATGTTTGCGGAGGAATGGAAAAATCAAGAGGAGGCTGATGGTCTCACCATAGGCAGGGTTTCCATTACTGCTGAAAAATCACCAAGCATCCTTGTTCAAGCAAACAAGCAAACACCATGCATTGTATGCCTACTTACGTACCTCAACTTCTTGCATGAGTGCGACAAAAGAGTCGTATGATAGAAGCTCATTTCCTTTGCCCATTTTGATGAGGGTTTCAATATCTTCAGCTGCGCTCCAGCTTACTGTCTTCGCATCAACCTTACTTAGCTGAAGATATCCATCCTGATAGAAAAGACAAAAATACCAGTTACTTCTTGGGTTTTTCAGTGGAGAACATCTGCTCCAGAAACAGTCCATTCAGTTGAGATGTTTTCAGGAAATGCAGCACAGCAGCTTCGGCCTCGTAATTTACAACCAAAGCTCCTCCAAATTGGATCACAACATGTGCAACCGTTCAGCATGCCTGTAAAAAATGACACTAAGAATGACATCCCTGTCTGCATGAAAATGAGTGTCTTTACAGGCATAGGAAGAATTGAATGAGTTTTCCTCTCTCGGATTGTAGAGAAAACAGAGTTTCGGCTACAAGTTGGACAATGCAGCTCTCACATTGTCAGCATCAAGAGTATTAAAGATTTTTTTGAAAGCGCGCTGCTTCAGACGTGCTAAATACTTGTAGGATTTTGGATTAACAAAGTTGCACTTGGCTTTCTCTCTCGCTAACTTTTCTTCCTCCTTCAGCAATGCTTCTTTCTTCCCCGCTTGTGTTGCTTGCATCTCATACAGTAACACTCCTACTGGCAAATGCATAGGATTCCTCTGCAATTTATAAGAAAAATCCGAAAGTTCAAAACTCCCCTTAAATATAATAGACAGAGGGTTTGAAATATGTATGAAAAGCAGAGCATTGGCTAAAAGTTTCGGGCGTCAATATTCAATTTTGAGCAAGAACATCCAACTACTGTTTGTGACATATTAAGGAAATTAACCATGTAAAGACGAGAAAGTGCTAACGTCAGTATGCGGCTCTCGTCCGGTCATTGGCGTGAACAGCTTTCGACCGGTACTTTTATCTACTAATACAGAACAATTGCCGACATCCTTCTTCGATGCCTTCTTGTAGAGCATTTCCTTAGGAATCTGTGACAACCGATCAAACACTATCGGTCGACTTTTATCATCTGCATCGTTAGATCTTCTATTGATAACTGGTTGGAAGGTCAATCTGCAATTTACACATTATTTTTCTCGTAAAACTTGCTCTTGTGTAAAGTGATTCGATTTCAGATAGCGAATTACTAACAACTGCTCTGCAAAGTGCCGAGCCTAGAACAAGCGTATGGAACAGTCAGAGTTCTAAACAAGTAGAAACATCAGTGTATCTGACGCTTAGAATGATTATGCTGTGAGTGTTGTCATTTGCTATTAGAACACATCCAAAAATTCGAAGCTAAAGGACATTACATGAACACTCCAAGAGGACAACAGCATGAAGGAAGAGGTAAAAAAACGTTCCACTAACCCTTCAGGGTACCAATCCGAGTATTGGTTCTGACGTTGACGACGGCTTTCAAAATCAAAAAAGAGTTGGTCAAACCGTGAAACCGACTCATCCGTTTGTTCAAGGGCCTGTTGATGATGATTGATGTGTGGCATGAACGTGCATTCTGCCATTTTGGCTTCCATCACCTGTCAACAGCCCAACATCAATGACATTCAAATATTTCCAAACTAGAGAACCTGCTGCAAAATTTTAGAACTAGTCATCTAAAAAAAGAGAAGAAAAACATCCACTAAACCCTTAACCCTAAACCTCAGCAGCAGATTTTGATTGTTGTAGTTCGATCACATGAGGAGCTTATGGAATAGCTTGCTAACTGTTTCAGAGAGCAGATTCACCTCAAACCGAAGCTGCTCATGATCAAATTTCTCAGCAGCAAGCTTATCCCAGATATTTCCATCCCGCTGCAAATTCTTTGCTCGCTCGCTTTATATGCACGACTTCAAAATTAACAACTTAAGTTTTCCATGGAAAAAAATGCGCCACGGTAAATGCAATGAAATATTTCACTCTCCTGTGCTAATTGCTACAACATGTACCCAGGAAGACTCCTGACCGACGCTAGTTGTCCGTCACCACAGCAGACAATCAATTACACAACCAATACTTAAATATGACGGATTATAAGTACCATCATCTTCAAACAACCTAAGTCTAATCAAACGTAATCGGCTTTAAAGAACGACTTCCTCGCCGAACTCGTTGAAAACTGATGCAAACGTGCTTGTTTAGACATCAAACACACTTATTCACCGAAGGTAACTCAACCAACTTACCAGGATCAGCATTAGCATTCATTGAGGGTGAGAATACCTTATATGAGGCTTTCCACTGCAGCTTATCATCTCCCTGATTCTCTCTTGTCTTTTCTTCCGTTCGATTTCTTTCATGTATTTCTCCTTCATGAACATCCCTTCCGTGTACAATAGTTCACCATAATTTTCATATCTGCTAGCAATTTCCGATCGCCTTCTGTAGGTTTTCCAAGATTTCTATGTAACATACAAATCAGTACTTCACCAGTGTAAGGTACAATGAAAGCGGAATCGACGTTTTGCAAGTGAAAATATTGAGGAATGTACCGGCAAGTGCAAGTTGGAAGGCAATCATCAATCATCAATCATCACACAGAGAAACATGAGAAGCGACGAATCTGTTCTGAGTTTTGTATAAAACCTTGGGACTTTTAACCTTTGAACTGTTGACATTTTCTGCAAATAACTTCACGTGCTGTCTGCACATATCCAGATGTCGCTCCTTACGTGTAAAGGAGTCACTGTGCAGCCGTAAGCAAGCAGCCATCTGTTTGTCAGCCCCACAAAAATTCAAGAGATAAATAGATCATCTTATATTTCTCCTACATCATCTGTATGTGGAAGTTCTGTTAAGACAAGAATCAGAAAATCTATGATACATATTGTCTTCTTTTCATTTTCTTCTTTTCTGTAGGTATAAGCATTGAATACACACACTTCACAAGGACAAATTAGCCAGACTAAAAGGTAAGTAAAACGAGTAGACTTAACCTCAGTATCAGATAAACGACGCTTCCTGCGTTTCTTATCACGTTCGGGTCTGACAAATTTGTGGCTGCGTGAAAGAATTGCACATTGCCGCTGCTGCTCAGCAAAATTATTCCTCTTCTTCCGCACAGTCCTTGGTGGCAACACAGGCACCCTCCTACAAGGCCTGTTGATATTTTGAGATTCCGCGAATGGGGTTGCAGAACTTGAGTAGTGGTACTGGCGTTCACTTTCTCCTGCCGCATTCTTTTCAAAAGACGAGTCTCTATTCTCAAAATAGTCCTCTTTGTCCGCGTGGTTCAATCTGGCTTCATAAGCATGACGCTCTTCTTCAGAGCAGAAGAGGATATTCTCGTCTTTCTTGCTGCTCATGCCAAGTGAAAGAGATGTGAATGTTGTGACCAAACGCATCTCTCAGACCTAATCCTGGCAGAAACTTGTAACCTCACTATTCACATATTTCAATCCTCTTGTGGGAACAAAGAGCATTTTTGTTATCAAGTTATATTGGATGGGCTGTCAAGGCGAACAGACTTTCAGGCTTCAGTTGCAACGAAGAGATATCAGACAAACCTGATATCTATAATATTGTTGAGTATATGCTCCGTGAGAGGCGCAACGCAATCCCTGGGAAGGGAGTGGACATTGCAGAATTGTGTTGCCACTCCCTCTGCTGAATCGCCTTCCTTCATCTGAATGTGTTTACAGCTTCCATCCTCAATCTCCACAGTGATGAAGAGCAAGATTTTTCGGTTGCCATCATTTTCTGGGCACGTGCTGTGCGCCATGTTAGCTTCACTAAACAATAGCAACGTCGCTATTTCATCCACTGAGGGTTGTAACGAACACATATTGATTAACCTAGTCCTGACTGACAAGCCTCTTTCGTGATAGAAATGGTTCATAACTAAATCAAGTAGAAAAGCTAAGTTGTCCACAAATGACTCGGAATCGTCCTTAACTAGGACTTGTGAAAGACGAACAACAAAACCCTAATTGATCTACAAATTGTTCGTATATAAGTGGAATTTGAAGCTTACCTTTGTCACACAAAAGCTGGTTTGCAGGTTCCTCAGACGTTGATTTCTGCATCACCACGATACACAAAACTATGTGACACGACAAGGATACTAATTGCCTCCACACATTTACCTAGAAACAATCGAGTATCACCATAGAAGTTGTAAGGAAAGAGAAGAGAGGAAACCAGACATTTTGGCACCGCACCTGGTTTGTCAAATCTGAAAAGCTGCAGCCGGTCCTAGAAGTTCTGGGGTCGTCCCAACAGAAAGAAAAGCAACCGTTAGACGTTTTCGACATAGTTCCGGCTCTGAACATGCCAAAAAAACATTGTCCTAGTCATGGATATGGGTTCAAAACAGGGTACACAGTAGTACAACATGCAGTCCACTTTGAATGCCGTTCCCCTACTCAGCCATAAGACATGCACAGCCCAACTACTGTGAGAAATCAGTCTTGTTGAATACTCATTAGCCCCATTTATTCATCTGCAACGCAGTTCGGGATTATATCAATCACGCTAAAGCAATTCAATTTGAGTTCACATACCCACCTCGGCATTTTTGTTTTGCTTCACTTTTCCTTCTCGCTTCTGTCCTTTCCACAGCGAGCCCTATACTGTGCATACAAGGCGAAAAGTCTTCACGTATCGTTAACTGTGCTCCAAACCTTCAACATCTCTTGAGTCGCTCTGATCAGATCCACAACTCTTAATCAGTTCCTATCTTTTAATTCCTCAAGAAATAAATAGGATTCAAATTTCCCTCCCTTGTACATCCTTCGCATACCGACGGCTCTCTTAGACCTCTGAGATGCTGCCTCCTTCCATCTTCCAGCTTGGTTCCTGATTTCTTTGATAGAGACGTGATGCCGGCAAACTTTCTCCTCAATTAAAATGCACAGTGCTTGTGTGCACCGTGTTGAATCTCTTCAGTTCCGCAGCACCAACTGAAAGCAGTGTGCTCCAATTCTTGAGCACAGATCTTTTCCGAAGCTGCGCCATCAGAAGCCCGAGCAGCTACACACCACCAAACAAATCATGAGAATTCTTGGGAAAAGGGAAATGTCGTAAACTTTCTCACGCAAGAACGCACAAAGATACGAAATTCTCGGACATCCCGAGTTGTCAACATCAGTTCGCCATCAACAGGGGGTTGAGCTGGCTTACGTCGCGTAACAATGAAATCACTCAAAGGCAAAGAGCTCGCGAGCTCAACCTCATCACTCCACTGCGGAATGCAATTACCATCCACGACAATGACAGTCTCAAAACACAACGTTCGATGGAGCTTCTCTGATGAGGTGCGAAACCTGTAATGTGGGTTCCGTAGGAAAATGCAATTCACGGAAAACTCAGAGCTGGAGGTAAGGTGTCGCACACAGTATGTTCACCGAAACAGCTTTTCCACGATCTGGCTTCAATCTGAAAGAGACTTTTCCTGCGCTGGATGGTTTTACTGCAATGCAAGAAAAAAAACACGAGAACTTCAACTCTCCAGATTTAAAATAGAAGCAAGAAGGACTTGACGAAGAGGTGCAACTGTTAATAAAATTAAAAACAACACATGTGCTCCCAACTCTTGAGCAACCAGCTTGCCTTTCAACTCTGATTTTGAAAGGCAAAAAACTCGGACAAACACTCTAGATTTCAAGCGTGTCAACCTTACTCTCGTTATTGCGGCGGAACCACCGAGGCAAGCTTCCAGTCTCTGTATGTGTGTGTGTGTCTCTCTCTGTCGGCGTTATCCATTGCAGTAAATTTGTTGCTTCACACAAACTACAGTGATTGATGACAAGATGAACACACACACACAAATGTATGTATATGTATATGTATATATATATATATATCAAACAAGGATGAGTTTACCCATAAAGTTATAACGGAATGCTCGGAGAAGAAGCTCGCCAGAAGGATGAGGTCAGATAGCATGTGAAAGAAAAAGAAGAAAAAAATCGTGTTTTGATAAGCAATAGCTTTCAAAACAAAAGTTGAGGTGTCAAGTTTTTATGACTTGTAAAAGGATCTTATAACATGTAATAAATCTCATGTAGTGGTTGAGAAGTAGTTACAAGCTACTTTTATACTTGAATGTAAATGTAAGATGATTTGGAAAATATATATATATATATATATAGATAATTGAATGTGGAGCATATGTTAGAGAACCATATGTAGATGTTAATACATCTATAATACAAGACAATTTGGGTATAACACAAAGATAAAAAGAAATCTTCTGATTGCCATGAATAAGGGAACTTGTGAATAACTTGGGAACGATAGAACTCGGGAACATTGGAGATTGAATGAACAAGGAAATGGTTGGATGTGCTAGAGATTGCAGTACCTAATTTCACTAGTTTTTACTAGTATAAATAAATAAATAAATTCAATTTAAGAAATACTTATGTAAAAATAAGAAATACTGAATAAAGAATATAAAATAATCAAAAGCATGCAGAAACTACTTGCAAAGCTAATCACTAGTTATTGTACAAAAGGAATATTCCAAACTTATTTCTTTCACACAAGATAGTAACAATTTTAATAATTTTATCATTTTTTTTTTATAATTTTGAAATGTTGCTTAACATAACATATACAGTAATAGAAGCTTTTGTTTAAATGCAAAACAAAATTCAAAAATTTATTGATATGCAATGTGCTCAAAGAACATTTGAAATAAGAAAAGTCAATAAACGACCACACACTTGGTGTGCATTTTGTCTGCGTTTCCTGAATTTTTGAAGAGAACTATTTGCAACAATTTGTCCACTGTTTTTTCCAACCTTTCAAAACGTGCTAAAAATATTAGATTTTATTAACTTACCTTGTCTGCATGAAAATCAAAACTTTAACATTCTCTCTCTTCATCATCCCAATTTTAATGCTTGGTTAATTTTTCTATTCATCAAGGGGACCAGTCAAACATGTGCGTCGCGTCACCCAGGGCCTCTCCCACCCCCAACAAAAGCGCCAGTTTTGGCCCCGCGCAGTCGGAGCAACGTTGGAGCTGGGTACCCTGCAAAACCAACAGAACTGCCGGTTTTGGGGCATGGGAGGGTTGGATCGCAGTTGGGTACTCAGTAGTTCTTAGTTTTTTGAAAAAAAAATTGTTGTGTTAATTTGAGGTTGATGACAGTGTTGTGGGTTTTGCTTGAAGGGCTGAGGAAGTGGGTGAGTGAGTGAGGGAACGAGTCTCTGCCTCAACACGAGCGCGGGAACGAGGGCGTAACGCGAGGGCTTTGCTCGCACTAGGGTTAACAAGAGCGACTCTCTTTGTGTGTGCGTGTGTGAGTGAGAGAGAGAGCGAGAGCGAGAGAGAGATGTTGTTGTTCGTCGTTGTCGTCGTGCCATTGTCGTAGTTGCCGTTGTTGCGATCAATTGCGCTTCATCTCCAATGCCCACAAACAGATTCCCATTATCGACTCGGGCTTGCTTCGTTGTCGTCGTGGATAGATTCCGCAGGATTCGTTCCTGTTCTATTGCCTGCTGTTGCGAAGCTCAAGCCCTCGTCTACACCGGCGTTGCGACTGCATTGCTGTTGGAGTCTCGGCTGCAACCTGGGCACTAACTGGTAAGATTGCGATGCGGCCATCTCTGTACTTCTCTTGGAGTCAAGTTCTTGAATCGCATGGTGGCGATTCGTTTTAATACTTTAAAAAAAATTTGAAGTAGTTTTTTTTTTGCTTTAATTCTACATGGGGTGTGATTTCGGTGGTATGTGTAGATTTCGAGTGGGTTTTTTTTAGGTGTGGGTCGATGGGCTTTAGGAGTAGTGTTCAAACGATCGATGCAATGTGCTGTATGAAGGGCGTGCAAGCTTTGTTTTAATTTTCATCTTTGTGGAACATGTCAGATCGTGTGCTCATACATTTTGGCCATAGAACATCAATATTTGGATTTTATCAATGCTTATTTTTATTTTTATTCTGTTTCTTTTTTGGTTATGGTTTGGTGTTTTATCACGAGATTATTCCTGGAGGTACTGATAAAGCTGCCATACACTGTTCCACTACCCTCATGTAGGTTTCATGACATGTCTACACCAAGAAATTGTACCGTTGTGGCGGTTGGTTCTTGCGTTAGGACATGGATTTGATTGTTCGCTTGAGGGTGCTGTTGTCTTTACGGGATTTGACTTACACTCGTGCAAGTTCAAGTTTCTTTTTAGCATACATGCGGCTTTGGTCGTGACCTAGCAATCTTTCTTGGAGTATGAGGGTCTTAGGTCCTGGGTCGAGCAGAGCATCCGCAGCAGTTGCCTTACACAACGAGTGATTTAATATTTGTTTGGGTTTTCAGACTTATTGGAAGCATTTTAGTGGTCTGTTATTAAAGCTTAGGACTTTATCTGATGTTGACCTACAAACTGTGGAGTATTGGGTACGATTTGGTGTAAGAGCGAGTCTTCACTGTTAGCAGAGTGACTTATTTCGGGAGAAACGCAACTGTCGACGGACGTTTCCATTCACTTGGTTGCTTTCTTTGGGAAAGCCTTTGTTCTGTAGAATTATGTTGATTAGAGTTAGGAAGAAAGTGGTTGATGGTTTGCCTTTTTTGTCATATATATTTGCACCCTACTCATTCGACATGCGGTGTGTTTCTTTTGTGCATTTGTGGTGGCATCCTCTTTACTTGCATTAACTATTCTCAAGGCGGTTTCTGCACATAACTTCTTGAGGGCCTTAGTCGGCTAATTCCTTGTCTAGAACCTCCTCCTTATTACACAAAGCACTGTGTTTACATCTCATCTCTCGCGCATGGCCCTCACAGTGTTTCCTGCTAATTTCTCACACTCCACCTTGCGGTGGCCTTTCCAATGTCATCTATGGCCTTCTCTGCCTTTCCTCTCTGCCTCAATTTCTCCGCTTCAGTTTCTCTTCCTCAGCTGCACTTCAAGCTCCTATCTAGGTGATTATCTGCGGTTCTTGGAAGACTTTGGAGGTGAGCATGTCAGGCGCAAGTGGATCGTCAGAAGACCTACACGACGAAGAGCAGGTCGACATAGATGGGGCGGTAGATCTTGACGAAGAGGTCGACGATGCTAGTGCTGAGCATGAGGATGAAGAAGAGGTCGAAGAAGAGAAAGCTCAGGGGCTAGATTTGGACATAGACGTGGAAGCTCAAGAAGGAGACGATAGCCAGGAAGACCAAGATATTGATGTTCTTAATGGAGATCATGATCATGGGATTACAGAGGCCGATCTTGCTGCCGCGGAAGAGACTGACGCCCATGTTGGAGCTGACGTTGCGATAGTGGAAGACAAGGAAGAAAAAGACGCTGAGAAGAGCGGTGACCTTCTTAAGCGGCCTCCTCATGGCTCTGAAATATTCGTGGGGGGCATTACTCGGGATACAACTGAGGAAGATTTACGAACACTCTGCTCTAGTTGTGGTGACGTATACGAGGTAGAAAGCCTCAAAATTATTTCAACTTGAAACGCTCTTTTGAATGCTGCTCTCTGTTTTTCTCCGAAGGATATGACTTCGATGTGAAAGCCCTTCTAATGTCTTCTCATTAACTACCGTTTTCGGAGCAACTGTTTGTGTTGTTAGTAGAACTTTAAAATTGCTGATTTCTCTCAAACATGTTTTTTTTCAAGAAATGTCTTCGTAGTTAACTGGGGGCAGTGTTTTCTGTGTGAATCGACATTTGATTGGAATTTGTATTGCTGGCCAGGTTCGTCTTCTGAAGGACAAAGATACTGGTCAGAACAAGGGCTATGCTTTTGTCACATTTCTGAATGAGGAGTGTGCGGAAAAAGCTATTGAGACATTGAATGATTCAGAAGTCAAGGTAACATCACGTTTCAATTCTCTGTCTTAAAAGCTAGTATATCGAAGTGTACCATATTTTTGGTTCTTTTGAACTCTCCCTGGCCCCTGTGACTTAGTGCATTATGAGGAATGGTCTGCTAAAACTTGTCAAGACTTCCGACACTTGGATGTTGCTGTTCTGCAGGGACGAAAACTTAGATTCTCTCAATCGCAATCAAAGCACAGACTCTTTGTTGGGAATATTCCCAAGACGTGGGAAAAGGAGGAACTTGAAAGTGTACTGAGTGAGCAAGGACCAGGCATACAAAGTGTTGAACTTCTCAAGGTAGAGCCTTGTGTGGCGTTACGTAGGAGTTTTCGGTGTCTGTTGTACAGATGCCGTGACCTTCGTGCCTTACTTGAATGCCTCCTGTAATAGCAACATGTGGTGGAGAAAGTCGTACATCATTATTACGTGACCCTTGTATCTTTGATCATTTTTTTCTCAAAACCGTACTGAGCCAAATCACACGGCCTGCAGGATCCAAAGACTCCGGGAAGAAATCGTGGATTTGGTTTCGTAGAGTATTACAATCATGCTTGTGCTGAACATGCCAGACGTGAGATGTCTAAATCAAGTTTTCGACTAGGAACTAATGCTCCTACCATAAGCTGGGCTGATCCACGGAGTGGGCCTGATGTCTCTGCAATGTCCCAGGTGCTTTGAGTCTCAGCTTAAAGCCGTCGACTGTCATTTTGTTATCTTTTTTCGATCATCGATTAGCTAGGGTTACAAGACCTCTCATTTCATTACCCTTTTCTTTATTGATTTATCATTATCATTATCATTATTATTATTATCAATATTTTATTATGTTCTGTATTGCATTAATGTGGGCAGATCCTTGTTGAATATATGTTTTTAAGGCCCACTGAGGATTTTTGTGTTTTGAAGTAAAGGTAGTGGGGTTATTTTTGTGTTTCTAGCTTGCAAACACTAAAGTTTTTAAGTTGCTTAATTTTCAGGTCAAAGTTGTGTATGTGCGTAATTTGCCAGATAGTGTGACTGAGGAGCAGCTGCAGAAGTTGTTCGAACGCCATGGTGAAATCGTGAAGGTGGTCTTACCTGCAACTAAACCTGGGCAAGCAAAGCGTGATTTTGGATTTGTTCACTTCTCTGATCGAGCACAGGCTCTCAAGGCTATCGAGAAAACGGAAGTCTATGAATTGGAAGGTAAGTTATGCTCTTCGCTTTGTCGCTTTTCATTTGCTTGACGGATGCGTGTATGTGATAATGTGGATTGCTTTGGTCAGACCGTTTCTTGACTCTTTCATGGGCACTGCATTCTGTTCTTACCAGGTCGCATACTCGAGACATCTCTTGCAAAGCCTCCAGCGGAGAAAAGGGCTGCTGGTGGGGAGCCTGCCTATCCCCCACAGCGAGCTGGACTTCTGCCTCAGCATCAAAATAGAAGTGGCTACGGCTATGGTGGCGATGTATATAATAGTGTTGGTGGTGCCTACGGTCAACCCAGAGGTTATAATCAGGCATGTGCTTGCCTGACATCTAACGCATGCTTGGCATCTTTTAGTTCGTTTCTGTCTTTTTCCTTGATATCTTTTGGAACTCTTTCGAGATTTGATACTGTATTTCTCCCTCGTGTTGCTTAAATTGGGGTAGTAAATGTGCTCTGAAGCTGTTTCCTTGGATATCTCATGCAGCCGATAATTTATGGGCGTGGTCTAGCACCCGCAGGCATGACCATGGTACCGATGATGCTACCAGATGGTCGTGTTGGTTATGTCTTGTAAGTATCTTCTCACTTACTTGTTTGTCATGAGTAAATGAATGGGGTATAACAAGCCGGTTTCTTCAATGCGGTGACAAATTATGTTGGTTCAAACATGGATTGATATAGGCAACAACCAAGTGGAGGACAAGGAGGACCTGCTCCGTATCGTGGTGGTAGGGGCAGTCATGGGTTACTGCCATTTAGACACGGTGGAGGCAGTGGTGGCAGTGCTGCATCTGGAGCTGGAGGAGGCCGTCGTTACCGTCCATATTGAGATATGGTCATGTTTTTGAGATATAGATGTGACTTTATGATGAGGATTTCCTTTTACGTCAATTTGATAACTGGTACTTTGAAGTATGCTGGATTATCACCTTTGGCTCTCGTTGTTTGGGCTAACTCTCAAGGTGCCGCTTATGCAGAGGAGCTTTTGTGTGGCAGGATGCCCTGTTAGTCGTGTCAAGTGCCATTTCTTCTTTTGATTGTATGTAAAATGTGGCATTACGATTTAGTCTTAGTTCCGTGAATGCACCTGCTTACTACATAACTTTTACTCATCACCTAAACCTGAAATTATCATATAAATTGCAACTTAGCTCGTATTAGTCATGTGGGGTCCAACTATAATTGGCTTAATACTCGTTTTAGGTTGAGCATTTCTCATATTTCTTGAAGTGTGTGAGATGAGAGGTTGTGTGGTAGCGAGAGGCCAGTACTGCCAAGATTCCTACCCAGTTAATAGCAATGTAAGTTAGCAATCTGTAGAATTATCTTTATTTTCAACATAAAGTCAATGTTCATTCATATGGTTTAATAAATAATGTTTCTCTAGTATTTGTACTCCAATTACAAAGCATATAAATTTCAGAAGCAATCTAAAATAGTTATCCATATTCTTTTTAGTAGAAGCATTTGGATTTGAATAAGAATAAATAGTTTGTGGATAATTTTTGCCTCTTGATATTATTTGAGGTGATAAATTTTTCTATCATATATAAATAAGAGAATTTAATGAATATTAATAATTATAAGATAAAATTTATTTTTTCTTAAAGTTAAAAACTGATGTACAAATTGTCATGGACATACATATTTATTTTAATATTTATTTATATAATTAAGTAGAAATATTTAAATGTAGATTTATTTCAAAATATTTTTTACAAAACTTTTTTTAGAAGTTTCATAAATATTGCTTTGATTTTACATGTATTTGTAGTTGATTAAATAGGTTAGAAACTTGGTCAATAAGTTAATTGTGTATTAGTAATTTACGGAATAAGCTAACTATGTGGTGTACATATAAAAAACTTGCTTAGCAAATTAAGATACATGTCTTACCAAGTCAATATGTTTTGGAGGTCCTATAGGATATTGTCACGTAGTTTTTAGGTAAGAGTATATATGGATATAAGTGAGAAACCTTCTACACTCTTGCCAATGCCTTTCTAATCCTTAGCCTTGTTTCAAGACTTTTTAGTCTTTTTGTTTTTGGCAATAACCATTCTAGTTTAATACAATACCATTTTTAAGTGACTTTTAAGTTCTTTTGAGTGACATAAGAATATATTGAGTTTTTTTTTTTTTTTTTTTTTTTTTTTTTTTTTGAGATTTGTATCCTTGACAATTTGATAAGAGTGCTAACTATTTTTGTCTTATTTTAAAAGTGAGTGGATTACCTCCCTTCTTTTGTTGTATTTAAAAAGTTGCAAACTATCCACCTTTAAACAAATAATCTTGTTTTCTTATATTGATGTTTTTCTTAAAGAGAATAGATTATCCCTCTTTGTAGAAATTTTTATTTGATATTAGAAGTTGTGAATTACCTTCTTCTAATTTAACTTTTTGAATTTGTTTGAGATGTCTACAAAAGAAAAGATTATGGATGATATTCTTACCAGAAGTAAAAATAGATCTGCAAGCAGTTATTATAGATCTTTATGAGCTTGTTAATATTCTAAGAGTAGAAGTCTTACGTATTTTGAATGTTGAAAATACGTCATAGACATATTATTTTTATACTTATGGAAGAAGTTCAGAGTATCCATCAAGAAGTTGTGTAGTTAAAAGAAGCAAGTAGATCAACGTCACAACTAAATCCAAGAAGTTTTGCTTTTACAAGTAAGATAGAGATAACGATTGATATGCTTGAGAAATTTGATGAAACAAGATCAAAATTTTGAAGATTTTTGCAACGAATAAAGTATCTAAGGTTGTATCCCTTTTAATACTGTAATAGAATTACTTAAGTTGGATTTTTAAGCATACTTCTATAGGGAAGTGTTCTCTCTTAGTTTGCATCTTTAATGGAAAAGGATTTGTGACTCTTTTATGATTTGAATTTATTTCTAAAAGTATTTACTATGACATTTGGAATAAATGATCAAGAAAGAGTAGCACAGACCAAACTCTTATCTTTATAGCAAAGATCATGGTCAACCACCTATCATGGATATATACATATAAGCCAATAATTACTTATATAAATAGGTAGAAGTAAATAGAAGTATGTAAAAATAAGTTAATTCTATAATATCTTCTATAAAAGCTTCCTAGAAGCTTTATAGACCCTGCTTTGATTTTATATGTGTATATAATTGATTTCTTGGGTTAGAAAAGTGATCAAAAAGTTAGCTATGTGCCACACATGTTGTTAGCTTGAAGATCAAGCTAACTATATAGCCCACATGTAGAAAAACTTGCCTTATAAGTTAAGGCATGTGTCCTACAAAGTCAACACATATTGGAGATCCTATAGAACAATGCCACGTAGCTCCTAGTTAAATAGTATATATATATATATATATAGAGAAGAGTGAAGCTCTCTTCACTCTTATTAATTCCTTTTTTACTTCTAGTCTAGTTTCAAGAGTCTCAAGTTTCCTTGTCTTTTGACAACAAGTCATTTCAATTTTTTTTTAATATATGTACTTCCTTATTCCTATTTTATTACTCTTTCTTTGACATAGATTTCATTGATTTATGCATCATCTTTTAATTCATGTCCTTGACGGATTGACAAGAATACACTTACAATATCAAAGCTTTGTCTTGTTTTGGTTAAGAGTGGATTACCCCTTTCTCATGATAAGACATAAGCATATTACAAGTTGTGGATTACCCTCTTCTAAACTAATATTGTTCTTAGTATTTTTTCTATTCTCAAGACCTTTCTTCTACTTACCTTGAGTGGTATTGGATATTTTTTTGAGTATTATTATGGCTAAGCTTGTTAAAATGAAGAATGCAATGGCACAAATGTAAGAGCAATTGAGGGAGTTCATGCTTTCGATGCATCAACTTAACTTACCACCACAAGGATCAACAAGAATGGCAGGAAGTGAGGATATAGAGATGATTAGAGCTGTTTCAATATCTGTACCAAATCATGTCCGTCCACCTATGGTGGAACATCCTTCAAGTGTTAGAGAACCAAGAGTTGCTTTGCTCGAGAAGTTTGATGGTAGAAGATCCAAATTTTGAAAATTTATCAATGAAGTACAACTTGTGATTGAACTTCAATCTCAAAGCTATCTAATTCTAAGATCACAAGTTAGATTTATTGATACACTTCTTTTAGATTCAGCACTATCGTGGTTTTCATCTTTTCTTGAATGATGAGATCCAATATTGGATAATCTGGAGATATTTTTGATGGAATTTTGGTCCACATATGGAGAACATGATGCAACTCGTATTGCAACCAACATGATTCTTATTTTGCAACAAGGCAATCAATTTGTAACATTATATGCTTCACAGTTTTGAGAACTTGTAATTGATATCAAATAGGTTGATGCTGCATTTATTAGCCAATTTTTCTATGGGTTACAATATGAAGTAAAGAAATTGATGCTCAACTTATTTGATCCTCAAACATTGAGTCAAGCAATTGACTTTGCTATGAAATACAACAATGGATTTTTTAAATTTCAATCTAAGAGTCACACATATGGACCTCAATATTACTACAATTTGATGGCAACACCAACATCTCTTCAATACATACATTCAAAAGTAGAGGATATGCAAATTGATGTGATATGTTTTAAACCTCTTACAGAGCAAGAGAAGACTCATTGCCATTAAGAAGGATTGTGCTCATATTATGGAGAATCTAAACACACTGCTCAACATTGTCCAAAGAAGCAACGAAATCACTAAATGAGGAGCACACATGTCAAAGAAGACAATGTGTCGAAAAACAAATTTGTGTAATTACAATAGGGACAGAGCGGCTGGAATCTTGTACAATTTTTAATAAAGTTCCTATTCTTTCCTTAAAATCTTTTCTATGTTTTATAATAGATGTGCGTTTAGAACCTAATAATTATAAAGCCTCCACCTTGATAGATTCAGGAGCCTCAGCTTCTTGCTTAGACATAGAATTTGTTAAAAGTTATAAACTATCATTAGTACAAAAAACCAAACGTGTTCATGTAGAAGTCATAGATGGTTGTCTGTTGTTTTTTGGAGATGTTACTCATGAAACACTTTCCATAGATGTAGCAATAAATGGTCATGGTAGTTACATAATCTTTAATATAATTAGATCTTCTTCTAATTTAATCATTTTAGATTTATCATGATTAAAAAAATATAATCCTTGCATAGATTGGATTTCTCGTATCCCTGATTTCTCTAAAAGCATAATTAAGAGTGAAATTAATCGAGTAGAAAATCATAAGTTTAGCACAATAAAAACATGTATTTGTAGGTACAAGAGCTTTTTTGTATGCTGCAAAAGAAGAATCACCTTGTGTAAATGACAAAAGATGAAAGGTGTAAATGATGATGCTGCAAAAGATGAATCACCTTCCATCTTTGATATTGGAAGATTTCCAAAACGATAAGAGATGTCCAATACTTTTTAGACTTTGCCAACTATTATCAAATCTTCATCAAAGACTTCTCTTGATTTGTAGCTCCACTTACACGTTTGACTTGCAAAAACAAACTTGAGAGGAGCAAAGAAGTTGAAGTATTTTTTGAAACTTTGAAGTTAACTATTATTTTTGCACCAATCTTATATTGCATCAACTTTTCTAAGGCATTTTTAATGGAAACAGACACATCAAACTTTGCTTTGGGTGTCGTATTATCATAAATGGGAATAGATGATAAACTTGACCTAGTAGCTTTTCATTCTAGAAAATTTTGAACAGCTGAGATTAACTATGAAATTAATGATAAAGAATTTCTTACAATCATGGATTTATTTTAAGAATAGCATCATCATCTAGAAGGTACTTTTAATCATGTCACCATATATACAGATCACAAGAATCTTGAGTACTTCATGTCAACATGTGTTTTAAATGGCACTAAGCTTATTGGAACATGTCTTTATAAAGATTTGATTTTAAGATCACATATCGATGCAAAAAACAACAAGATTTATTAGACGTCCTTTCTAGTTGTTTTTATCTTGTCTCAAAAGAAGGAGATGCATCTTTTGATCAATAAAGAATAATTTTCTTGAAACTAAAGCATTTTCATCTTCGAGTAATG